ATATAATTCACGAATGCATTGAGTCTACGTGGCTATTTCTGGTGCTTCGTAATCCTACTTGGCGAAGAATCATGCTTCGTAATTAGGTTTGGACAAATAATATTGATATATTAATAATTAATAATCTAAGTTCGGACATTCCATAAATATTATTTAGCTAACTTAGGTATTTTAATATCACTTGTATTAATATAACCCTTTTAATTCTTTGTAATTTTACATAGTGAGACACTAAGTGACTAATATATCTTTGACTTTTGATTTGTTTCTTTCAATTAGCTATTGAATTATAAATGTATTTAAAAGTTGATAACTTTTGTATTTCTTATCGGTTTTACATATATAATATATCAAATTAATCATCTTTTCATGAGCTTCGATTTGACATCCATATTGTATATATAAAACAAATAAATTATATTTATCTTTATAATAATAAAAAATGATTATTTATTAAAATTTATTAGAAAAATTAAATTATTTCTCAGTTGAAATATTTATGTTTAATGTAGTTATATGTTGTAAGTAAAAAAAAAAAATCATTATAATATAACACAAGTAAGTCACACAAATAAAAAGTGTCATACTAAATATATAATAATATATATATTTTAATAAAAGATATTTAAATTTTCAACTACTTTTTCTTATTAATTTTAGATTTTAAGGAAAAAATTAGCAAGTATCCGTGTAATACACGGCGTTGTAATAGTGCTAACCGAAGCCCCTGGAAAAACCCCTGAAAAAACACATGTAATTCGCACAAGTAACATGTGTCATTCTAAAATATATAATAATATATATTTTTTGTAAAAAAGTAAATAAAATTTAAAATAATATTTCTCATTAATTTTAAAATTTAAAAATTATTTTTTAACAACTCCCCATGTAATACACGGGTGTTGTACTAATAAATATTGAATTAATATTTCTAGCAAATAATATGAATTGATTTACCGTTAATTTGTCTTTATAAGTTTTATAAATTTTCAATTTCGAGCTTATGATTTAAAGTAGTGCATTTAAATACCTGCGGTATTACCGATCGGACCGGTAATATCGGTGTTATTATCGGACTAGCAAATATAATGTTATATATAAATGCAAAAAAAGTATAAAAATAAATGAACATAATCATTAATTTCAACTTCACAATAAGATAAAAATAAAATATTTTAACTACCAATTTAAATTTTATGTTTTTAATTTAGTAAAATTTGTTGTTTTATTGGCCGATAATTTAGACCAGTATTTCCCGATTTTTGCGATATGATCTCGATACAAACCAGTGTAACCGTAAATCCAGTATTTTATGTATAAGTATACCGTACCAATGACCGATATTCGATATTAGCAACAATTATGTTACGGTATTTAAATCACTGATTTAACGAGCTTCACTTGTTTTATGTTACCGAGACAAGTTCCAAAGGCTCATAAATAATACAAAATATTTAAAGTTATGACTTATCCTTTTTTTTTTTTTTTAATCTAATGTTATTTTATTTTTTATTTAGTTATTCCGAATCCAGCTCGGGCGATTAGAAAAACAATTTTCATTTTCCTCTAAAGAATGCGCGGAGTCTACGTGGCTGCTTTTGGTGCTTCGGAATCCTATGTGGCAAAATTACATGCTTTATTATTAGGTTTGGGTAAATTTTAATTTAATTTCAAACAAAAAATAATTAGGTTCGGATTACCATAAATATGTTGATTATTTATGGTCATGTTACATGTATTAATTGCATTTTAATATCATTCCTTATTATAACTATTCAATTGTATATATATTTTAAAAGTTAATAACTTTTGTACTTTTTATCAGTTTTACATATGTAATATATCAAATTAATTTTCTTTTGATGAACTTCGATTTAACATCCATATTGTATGTATAAAAATAATTTATATTTATCTTTATAACAATAATAAAATTATTTAATAATAATTAGAAAAAATAAAATTATTTATCAACTAATATATTTATATTTCAAGTAGTTATATGATATAAGTTATAAAAACTAATACTATAACACATGTAAGTCATAAGTAACACTTATCATTCTAAAATATATAGTAATATATTTTTTTTTGTAAAAAAATAAACTAAATTTAATATAATTTTCTCACTAATTTTAAAATTTTAGAATAAGTTTTTAACAAGCACCCGTGTAATACACGGGTGTTGTACTAGTTTATAATTATTACATTATCATTAGTCACTTCCTCAACTCAACAATGGTAGTAAACTGTTGAGGGAGAGCTTTGCCGCCCTTGTGGTCCTACCCGGCTCGATTCCGAATTAGTCGGTTCCCATGTGGATCCAGAAACCGGAAGGTCCCTGTACCA